ATCCAAACCCCCCCGCTTCGCTAAAGTGAACATATCACCTCTTGCACTAGCCATGATTCGTGCCGCGTCCGGGCCGTCCGGGCCACATGTCCGGGCCGTCCGGGCCACGTGTCCGGTGTGCGGGCGACATGTACGGGACATCCGGGCCGTCCGGGGGTCCGGGCCGTCCGGGCCATCGGCTTCCTTAAACGGCTTGCGGTCCCACTTGCCTGCCGCTAACCAGGCACCCACAATTGGACCGTGCAGAGTACACGCGAAAAACTGCAACCCAAGTTTGTGCGCCACAAAGCACAACACTCCCCTAGCCGCCTGGGAGCGGCGCTTGCCGCGGTTGCTTTGCGAGCCCTCCGCTAGCGCCTCCAGGAGGTCCAAAACACGGGTGCACGCAGGAGCACCCATAGCCACGTTGCAACCAAAGCAGTACTCGGCCCAGCGGCGCCACCCAGACGGGTGGCGCTTCAGGGTTGTCGGAGCCCGATCAGTGAAGAGAAATAGAAGCTGCTCTGAGGAATACCCTTGTAGCTCGAGTAACACTCTGCTCTCGCGCTCCACGCACTTTAACTAGTCCAAGCAAAGACAAAGCTAAGCGCCTGCGCTCATGGTCCTCACGCTCCTGACCACTAGACAAGCAAGGCAAACTACCTGCTGGTAGGCGCACGGCAATACGCGGCATAGGTAGGGATGCACCGCCTACACCCCCAGCTCTTGGACAAGAAGAAGCCAAAGGAATGAATGGATCCGGTTTTCAGGGCGCACCACCACTGAAATAAGCTGAAACGGCGAAGCACTCAAAGGTCTGCGTGGCCGCGGCTCGGCGGCGTCCAAGCCATCCAATCGAAAACGCGGAAGTGACATACGCAGCAGCAAGGCAACAGGAAGAAAGCACAAAGCAAACTTGAAAGGCACTCCAGGCCTGACTAACCAACTGTTGTAAGTTGTTTGGCAAATGCAGCACCTGAAGAAGAAATAAATATATGCAGGCAAACGTAGAGCAACCAAACGCGGCGTGACCTGAAGAAAAGACAAACAGAGCGCAACTAGATAGTTCTCCTGCTATCCCGAGTGATCGCCCCGTGATCGCCCCGTGCACCTAACCACGCCAACCACTGCAAGGGGCCCTTACGGGCAGGCCGACGCGTGGTCGCTGAGTAAGTCGACTGGCCTTCCGCCGCCGGGTGACGGGCCACAGCGCCAGGAGGCAATTGGAATCATCTCGTTTTTTTTTTGTTTTTTATCCGCACCTTTTCCGGCCAATTCGCGGTCCGAGTGCGAGGCATGACGGGAAGGCGAACTCCAAGACAACCCGTGGCAAGAACGTCCACGGCTGGAAAAAGCCACAGCTCACGAAGCCCGCAGGGCAGTTGGCTGGTCAGCGGAACAGAGAAAGTCTCGGCGAAGACATCGCTGAGATCCAGTGCTGCCGCGTCGACGTTGGCAGCATTGCCCAATGGGAGAGAACGAACGGATTGTGCTGCCTGTGGTTCCTTGGCTGTGCCTTTGGTGCGCTTTCGTGTGGGCACGGTATCATGCGGTAATTTCCCTAAATTACTGTTCCCAAAATGGGGGAAATTTATATAGGGGCCCGTATTATAATGGGAACCCAAATATAGGACCCCGTATCATAGGGAATTTAGACCAATCCCCATGTACAAGCTTATGAGTTTACCTTTATCTCGAACTGTCACCGGGCCGTACACAATTCCAATCGTACAATCTGGATAATTTTCTCTTGCCAGAAACCAAAACACAAAAACCCTGAATAAAGCTAAGCCGCGATGGTTCAACAGGGTATTTGTCAGGTCGTTTTTCAGCTCGACAATTCAGTTGTGGTGTAACCAATGCTGGAGCAATCACAGTTGGAATTGTTAGGCGCCTGCCCCCCGAAGATCACCACGATCGTGCCTACTTTGATGCTGCATGTGGTTTGCCTGGGCCGCCAAACAGTAGACGTGCAAACGTCCAAGCAGAGGCTTGCCAAGGAGTCGCTGTGCCAGCTGCACTTTTTTCAGTGCCACCGAACTGACACTCTTCGTCACGTCCTCACGTGTCAAATCCGGGTCTACCATGCTCCAGCCTGTACGCGGCGTGAGAGCATATAGGAAATGCGACGTGCATGTACACGCTGTTGCTTGACTACTGTACCCGTTGTTTGATGGGTCATGAAAACCATGACGACAACAGGTTCCTGCCCCGTGGCCATTTTGGCTCAAGCCATTTTGGCTCAAGTTCAAGCTAGTTTTCGTAACGTTTTGTTCCTGCTCCTTTTCGGCAGCCCGAATGGCATGACTGCGCCCTCTCTGCTGTCCCACGCTGTTGCCTGGGGCGCTTGGGCGGCTGCGCGTGGATGGGACACAGCCCGCGCTGCTGCTGGCCTGCCGAAAACCTGCCGACAGGCAGTGGCGCATGCGGCACTCGTGTGCACAGGCGCGGACCCGGTCTACTGTTCCGCTGGTTTTGCGCCGCTGTCACTCGCTTGGGGCTGGCTCTTGCTTGGCCTCGCGTTGGGGATCCTTTTGCGCCCTGTGCTTGCTGCGTGGGCCCCCACCCTCCTCCACCGCGTGGTGGCCACGCCCGTGCTTGCACAGCGGGAGCCTTCGCGGCCCACCGCGGCAGAAGTACGAGCGAACGCGGCAGCAGAAGTGTTGCGCTGCGTGGCCTTGGGGGGGAAGGCGAACTACGTGCCTTAGCGGCCGGCGCGGGGTTGTCACCTGCAGCCTTAGCAGCGGCCTTGGCGGCTCCAGGACTGGAAGCCGGCGGCACGGGTTCGACTCCTGCAGCCTTTCCGGGGGGCTCGGCAACTCCGGCGCCGGCTCAACCCGCGACGCTTTCGCGGCCACGACGACGCGTGCGTGCCGCTATAGGGTTCCTTACAGGTTCCAGCCCGCGCGCGGCGAAACACGCATGTCTTTCCATGCTCTTCCACACATGTTTGTGGCTTGACTGTGCTTGTGGTTGCTCAGCATGTTGCACTTGCCCTCTGCAGCCGTTTGTTTCTCAGCGACCTTTGCCCCCAACGCACCTGCCAACATGGCTGCCGCACGTTGTGAAACATGCGGCCTGGGCATTTGGAGCCCGCCCAGCCGGTGCGAGGGTTGCCGAACACACGAGCGCCTTAACAGCGCCATTGCCAACCGCACTTGGACTGCCCACACATGGCGAGCCGTGGGTATGGCAATGGCGGCCATTGTGGCTGTGGCAGATGGACCCGGAAAGGCGGACAGGTGGTGGAGCAGCTCGAGGCGCAGGTCGCCAGCTCGCTCGGAGTCTTCAACGCCACCTCCGCCAGCACCTGGACGCGATGGGCCTGCCGCCGAGCCGCCTGTGGTGGAGCGAGCTGCTGCCGATGGGCGCGGCCGCGATGAGGCGTGGGACCGCGCAGTTCCTGCGGTGGGGCGAGCTGTTGCCGATGGGCGCGGCCGCGATGAGGCGCGGGACCGCGCAGTTCTTGCGGAGCGTGGCCACCCAGCAGGCAATGGCAAGGGCGGCGGTCGCAAAGGTGGTGGCAAAGCAGGCGGCAAGCACAAATGAGGAGCCGGCTGCGCGCGGCAGGCGTGGTGGCCGCAGGCATCGGCGAGGCGACGGAGACCTTGGAGCACTACTCAGAGCTGTGCTTAACAGGCGCCGTTGAATCGGCCCGGGCCTTCCTTAGAGTGATTGCACTTTGCCACGTGTGCTGCAGAAAGGTTTTTTTTTAAACAGGCAACCTTTTTGCCTGCACTTGGTCACGCGTCCTGCAGAAGGGTTTTTTGGAGCGAGCGACTTCGGCATGCGAGCTCAAAAAGAAAGGGCGCCTTTGCACCAGCTGTGATTGCATCAGCATCGGCGCGCCGCCCCGCTTCCTTCGCGCTGCGTCTCCTCACGCGCGTGACGCGACCAGTGACATTGCTGCAGCAGCCAAGACGCCTATACCGCTCTGTGCCGCGGCGCGCAACGCTCTTGGCGGCCAATGGCGTCGGGGCGCCGCGAGCGTGTGGGCGAGGCCGCCAACCCGGGGCCACCTGCAGCGGACTCACGTGGGGCCCCATCAGCGTTGGAAGTCCAGCGCCAATGCGCTGCCGAAGCGCTTGCCAGAGCTGGCTTGCCCCCGTTCCCTCCATTGCTGCCAGAGGCCGTGTCACCGTGTGGCATGATCAGCGATACTGCATCGCAAGCAACGGACCTGGCTTACCTTACTCCCCGCGCAGCGGGCGGCGACCTCACGCCGCTGACATTGCCCGATGCCCGAACACCAGACGAGGCGCCAAGCACCCCCGTGCCCGTGCAACCTCTGCCCGCGCAAGCGCGCTCCAGGTGGCAACGGGGGCCTCCGGCTGAGGGGCCGCTGCCGCCCAACTCTTGGATCTACATACCCCTCCTCCTGAATGGGGCTGGCTCTTGTGCCCAGCGGCCGCAGCTGGTTGGCGTGCCTGCGCGCCTTATGCGGTGCCCTGGCCCGCATTGGTCGCCGAAGCAGAACCAGGCCGGCCGCCTGAGGACTGGGCAAGCGCGTGCCGCGCGTTGCTGGAGCAGCCCGCGCAGCCGCTGACGCTCACTGACGCCACTCGAGCTGCCGCAGGCGCCGATGGTTACCTCACTGCGGCTACGCAGTCGGCCTTCCTACAAGCTTATGGCGGAGTCGGTGTCGCTGCCGAAGCAGCGGCACTAGCCGAACGCGCGCGCGCCGCCTTGCCCGCACAGAGCCGGCGCAACCCTCGACGCCGTCGCCGAGCGCATGCACCACGCGCGCCCACAGCACCAGACGGTGCTTCGGGAAGCGTTGCTGCGGGAGAGGCACCCGAGCCTGGGGTGGACCGATGCAGGGTGACCCGACATGCGACTGGCAACCTTCCATGGGCCGACGTGGACCAAATAGACCTGCAGGCGGAGTTGCGGCGGCCTGTCCCCACCTTGCAGAACGCGCCGCCTTTCCTGCGAGCTGGCGTCTGCCGGGCTCTCGTGTTTGCGTTGCGGGCGATTCGCAACGCTGATGCCGCGGAGAACGCCCATGTCACTCCCGCCCGACCTTGGTCCCTATTTTTGCTTACGCCGCGCATGCTCCTCGCGCGCCCGGGCTTGGATGGCGCGGCCGGGCGCAGGCTCTTGCTTGAGCGCGTCGACCGGTACGAGCGAGGCGAGTGGCTCGCGTTGCTGGCCGCCGCGCAAAGGGCGCGGTCCACAGCAAGCCGAACGGAGGAAGACGCCGAAGCAGCACTCCGCCAGCGGCGTGAGGCCACGTGCCGGCTCGTCCGCAAGGGTGAAATCAGCCGCGCCCGCCACCTGCTCACGAGTGGCACCTTGGCGCCGGGCGATGAAGCTACATGGGAAGCGTTGACTGACCCTGCAAAACGCCCCGCCCAAGCGCGCACGCCTGTCCCAGATGAGCTGCTCCACTGTCAACCGGAGGAGCCGGCCCGCATCACTGCTCGCGCCATTGCGCAGACGTTGCGCGAGGCCAGGCGCGGCGCCGCGCCGGGCTTGTCAGGCGCGCGGGCGGAACACTTTAAACTCCTCCTAAGCGATGCTGATGGCCTGGAGCTGCTCATGCACGCAGCATCCGTGCTGGCCCAAGCTCGCGTTCCCCCGGCTGTAGCGGCTGCCCTTGCTCTAGCTAGGATGACAGCGCTGCAGAAACCGGATGGCGGCGTGAGGGGTATCGCCACAGCAGATGTCTTTTGCCGGCTCGTGTCCAGGGCGTTGGCGAAAACATGGGCCTCAACCTTTGACGAAGCCACTCGTCCGTATCAACACGCGTTGAGCGCCCGGACAGGCATGGATGCCCTGGTGGCGCGTTTGCGCATAGCATTGGAGACGGACCCGGATGTGACGGTCGTGTCCCTTGATGGCCGCAGCGCCTACGACACAGTGTCGCGCGCGGCCTTCCTGCGCAAGCTACACCAGGTGGCCCCCGCCCTTCTACGGTTCGTGCGCTTGTTCTACGGGCAGCCTTCTGTCTACTTGGTGGGACGCATCCGGGACCTGCCGCGACATACACCAAGCGGAAGGGTGCGAACAGGGCGATGCCCTGGCCCCCGCATTCTTTTCGCTGGGCCAGCATGATGGCCTCGAGCGGGCAGCGGCTGAATTGCAAGCGGGCGAGGAGCTGCTTGCATACCTGGATGACCTGTATGTCATCACCGGCTCGAGGCGGGCCAGGGAGGGCCTTGACCTCGTCGCTTCGCGCGTCCAAGAGCATTGCGGAATCGCGTCCAATGTCGGCAAGACGCGCGTGTACAATGCTGGCCACGGGGCGCCACCGCCTGGAGTGCACGAGCTCGGGG